ATATATATATATATATATATATATATAATAAAACTCTTTTCACTCAATTGTCTGAACTTTTCTTTTTGTCCACTCACTGAATCAGACACCAGCATATGTATCTCAGTCTTATTGGTATATGGTTCCAACAAAAATTGCAAGTTACATATAAAACTACTTTGTGAACTAGCACTTGCAAATAAAGGCAAATAAGAGTGACAACTATTCTATATGTAATTAAATTTGCTCATTTGGAAGGAAAAAGAATACAAAAACAAAAAATTTACTGATCAGAAATAACCCGCTGATATTCCAGTAAGCAGAAATCGAGATTAGTTGAAAACAATATTAGAAAGGCCTACTAAGTAGCAAACACTCCAGCCTGTATAACTATGTAAGACGGAGATTCCTTCAATTAGAAAAGTGTCCTTTTCAGCCATCAAACTAGACATGACTAAACGGAAACAATATCTTGGTATCATATAAACAAACTGTTTTACCAACATAAAAATCAGAGTCAGCCATCAAACTAGACATGACTAAACGGAAACAATATCTTGGTATCATATAAACAAACTGTTTTACCAACATAAAAATCAGAGTTATTAAAAGCTTATAAAGCACTCGAGTGCTAAGATCCCAAGTCCTCTGAGCATGCATTGGTAAAGAAAATTGCAAGTCATACTGAAATATATTAGAGACAATATTCAGAGTAAAATAATTGGAGAATCACAGTTTACTTATCATTCAGTTGTATATAATACATATATAGCTGCTGGGAATACAGTGAGAAGCTTAAAGATGGATATTGTAGTTATAAGAAAATATATATATTGTCAGAAGAAGGAAAATAAAACCTGAGAAACATTTGGTTGGTGGTTTCAGATAACAACAAAACAGAAAAATTAAAAAAGAGAAAAGAAGTCTAGAGAGAAAGAAAAAGAGAAGAAATAAAATAGAGGTGCCTATACAAAAGAAAATGAACGAGGAAAGAAAGCATGAGAACAGAAGAAATAAACAAAGAAATAAGAAAAATAAAAGAGAGTTGAAAGAAAGAGGAGAAAATAGGGACAACAGAAGCAGAAGACAACATATGATGCAAAATCCTTACCGTTTGGTCTTCAAAGAAGAATCCCTTTAAAAAAAATCTAATCTATAATACTTAAATCAAATAATTTGATAAAGAATTAAAGATAAACTTGATAGACATATTAATCATGTATGAAGCAGACCTTTCATAAACCCTGGTTTCTTGAGAAGGTGCATAGTGCTTAACATAAGGTGCACATTAGTGAAAGCATGGTCTGCAGTACCGGTCCGTACCGCCCGGTACGGGCGGTACGTACCGGTCCGACAGGCTTCCGGTACGTGGACCATGTGAAAAACATTCATATATTGAAGAAGGATTCATCTAGAGATATTTAGATGTCCATTTTCAGTTACAACACATTTATTCTTGTACTTCTCACGATTTAATTTCAGAATAACAAGCACTAAAAAACTGACAACTAGAGGTCGATTTATGCCTTCCAAAATTGAAGCATAATAAAAAAATAATCATAGTGAAAAAAAATTGCAGTTCCTTTATCATCACTACCAAACCAGAAATTTTCCAATATGAGCATTTGGTTTATGAGACATATACTCTAATAATAATGTAAAGAAAAGAAAGGAGAGAGTTTGTGCACTCAAATAAAGACAACAAGTATGGATGGATTGTTGGAATCATATTTCAATATCAGACACAATCAGGCAGGCAATTCATGATAAATACTCAGAGCAGTATGCCAAGCTACAATAGTTTTGTCGGCTGTACCAAGGTTTATACCATATCAATCTACCCTAGTACATATGCCAATCAGCAAGAGACCTGCACTCTAATACCATGCCGATGGGTAAATTTAGTGGCCTAAGGACTGTTATATGATATATGATCCTTAATATCAAGAATAAATTTCGTGTTATAAAAGAAATAAAATGAAATTACTATTTAGATGCAAAATGCAGAGAAAAATAACATGAATATCATGTAGATCAAATTTAGAGATAATGGTTGACAAGTAGCAGTAGATACATAAAGATGATTAATGAGTAGGAAAAGTTATAGTGAGGTTAGTTGACCATCTATAGTTAGTAAGCAAGGATTAATCATATTCATATAAGTTGACCTGTAAAGATATAAACTCTTAAAGTTCACCTTCTCCAGCTGCAATAAGGGACAGTGCATGTGCAGGAGACAAGACAACCTCCTCCTTAATGCCTTCAACAAATGTTCCCTGTAAGAAGCAATGGAAAGTCATTAGATTATAAATATATCTGCAAAGACCAATTACTTGCCATTTTACCATATAAAGCTAACACTAATTTAGTAAGCATGTTGCAATAGACCTTTAATCCAAGATAAGAGAAAATATAGAAGATGCAAGCATTATCAAACTCAAAGTTGATCATTCCCTGAAAAATCTCATACAAAACTAGCAACAAATCTAAAAAACTTCAACAAGGATGCAAGCAATATTGATTCTATGCTACTTGATAGTTGTCACATGTTGAATCAGCTGGTCTATGGCATATCTGCTTGTGTCTAAATTGCAGAATCCACCAAGCACACAAAGGAGCACTGTCTGTAAAGGTAAAAGACTAAGCACTGCCCTATACTAGAGGTATAAGGTCCACATTAGCAAACCAGTTTGGTATACATACCACTGGGTGGTACGGCAGACTATATTGCCTGATATCACTGGAAATAATAAAATAAATAAATATCAAGTGCAGTAATTTGAATAATGGTTGAACCTGCACATTGTGATGGTACTTACTAGTCCAACCACTTATTGGCATGCTGACTTGGCAATTTCACCCATCGGTTCAGAATTCGTACCGTCTAGTAAGTCTTGAGAACTGAGCTTACCAATCAGTTTTAGACTGTAGGAGGCTTGGAGCTACTCTACCGGGCAGTAAAGTCACCCTGGGTCATTGGATACAAAGACCCATTAAAGGTCTCTTTGGGAATTTTAAGGATCCTTTCCCCTTCTTTCATCCCTTCCTCCACTTTTCTTCACTCCCTCTCTCAATCCGCAACCATATATCCCTTAAATTCTCTCCCTAGGTCTCTCAGTGCACTCTCCAAGTTAAAAATTTATCAAGTTGGAGACTGATCTCAATAAATTGAAGCCTCATTTTTTACATTTGAACCAATATTTCACCGAGAAAAGGTAAATTTAACCTTATCTTTCAAATTAATTAGTCAAGTCTGTTGCAAGAATTTAGGGTTAGATTTCTTGCCTCGTAAGATAGTTATTTCATCAACCTAAAATTAGGTTGTAGGTGTTTTTCTTGATGAATTTGGGACTATATTTGCGAAGATCAAATCTTGAGCCTTGCAGATTTAGTAGATCTGCATGGAAGAAGCCTACATCTGTGCAATCTAGAATAGATACCTAAAGATCTAGCTTTGATCCTTGCAGATTTTGCTGGATCAAGCCTTGATTCTTGTAGGTCTAGGCTAGATCTGCGAGGACACTAGAAAAGCAATGACCAAACCTTGAACCTGATAAATCTAGATTGATCTGCAAGGATCTCACATCTATTCATGTGGATCCAGACTAGATTGATAAGAAACTTGCTAGCCTTGATCTTTATAGATGTAGGCTTCATTGTAAGGATCTAGATTGAATCTGCATGAATCCAAGTGGAATCTTATGCATCTAGCCTTCGGTTTGAAAATCAAATACAAATTTAATAATGTCTCTCACTAGAATTGGCAACCTTTTGTAGAAAAACAGTGCCAAGGCCACAAAATAATGATTTGGTATCACAGTATGCCTGTCACTTGGAGCACCAATATCATTGACACTGCATCTACTACAAAGAAGCCCAGAGGTGGCATATGGAGTTTCTTTAATTCATTCGGCAAAAGGCTAACTCAAGTTGTTGATCTGGATCTTGTGGTCATCCTACTTAAAAGAGACCAAGATTCATTATGCATATACCGAGGAGCAAAAGAGGGATATGGTAAAGTCAATTGTAAAATATTTTCATTACACTGAATCCCTACTAATGCAGCTCAAGGTCCTTAATATCAATGTATAGTGTCCACCATTCAAAGGCATGGTTCCAACATATAATCTCCTACAAGATCATAGTTAGACATCTTAAGGAAGTTGAGCAGATCAGAGATTTAATAGTCTTTTAAAAAGCAGTTAAGCAGTTGCTTGCGACAGTTGATATGGACCTACCAAGATAAGCATCATTCATTTCATGGTAAATTGTAATATGCAGGTAGTCATTGGATCCTATTCATGATATATGATGGAGGCTGTCGTAGATGAGATCGGACCATCGTGTGAAGTATAACTGATCACAAACAACAGTGCAAATTTCAAGAAAGCTGGTATACAATTGATAGACACCAGAGAATCATTGATGATATCTCCATGGTGAAGAGAACAGACTAGACTTCTTACATGGTTAGATTTCCTACTGCATCTAGTCTGTTCCATGTCTGTATCATTTTATTTCCAGATGCAGTAGAGTAAAAGGAACAACAGGGGTCACAAGAGGTTGATCACCGTGAGGGAGAGTAGAGCCCGATGTTGGTATATGGCCGACCATTAGGCAATCAGTCCTCCATGGGTCGTGGCATTGCATAACAAACTCAGTCATCCAATCATGCAGTAGGGGTAAAGCTTAAACTTTACAATCAGTTGACCCTTTGAAAGCAAACAACAAGCAACAAATACAGTCAAGTGACACCTTTGAAATTCTCACTTCATGATGTCCACAAGAGACATTGTGAAAAGAAATGTATCCACCAGTGATGGAGAATGAACTGAGGAACAATATATCATCATACTACCCAAGATTAAGATCATGACACACATCAACTTGAGCAATTTGTTAATGATCAAAAGGATAAAGGAAAATGGAAGATGGTTAATAACTATGAGGAGATGAGACAAAGATTATATAATGTCAATTTTGGTAGGAGCTCATCCTATTCACAATCTTCTTACCAATATGATTCTCATCACCACAATTTTGTGGTAATAGTTGGTTATTTTTCCAGAGTTGGATATATTTTATCACTCAGCACCATATAATGACAATAATGCTACACTACAATGGATCTTGCGGAGTTGTACTTGCCATGATCGCTATAAACTTTCTTTACAATAAGTCCATGACTGCTAGCATATTATTGCATTAGTGGAACACTCTTTATCAATATCAAATATTGTGGGTGAATTTTCATGCATATATATGTCCTTTAGAATTACAATCTTGATCTACAATGCTACTGTGTGACTGTATAGTTAGCCATCACATTGAATATATATGCGAAGAAGCGCTTGGCAATCTTGGAAGAAAGTTGTGCTAATAAAGAGTTTTGAAGAAATTCTCTCTTTGTTCAAACTCATAGAAGAGAATGAAACAACTAAAGGGAGAATATGCACTGTATTAAAAATGATAAGTTAAAGAAAGCTTATATGTGAAGTCTTCCATCTGTATTCATTCATGGACTAAATATTTGGTGAGTGTGTGAGATAGTATGAGATACTATATATACAGTTTAATAGAAGAAATTGTAATGCTGACCCTTTAAAGTATATGCCAGCAAACATGTACCATGATAGCAAGATAGCATGGTACATGGCAAATGAGTGCAGGTACCATCATTGTAGGTAATTACTGGCTGTTGCTCTGGAATGTAACAAGCTCAGACCAACATGTTGGGGCACAACATGGCATGCAGCACAAACACTACAAATCCAAGACATCTACATACTTGCTCTAGGACACACTACCATTTATAATATTCCCAACTTATTCGAACTCCTCTAGTGATAATTGCAAACAAAAAGGCAGCACCAGCATAATGGTTGCTGATTTGGTTAGTCCCATTTATGAACAACTTCCTTGATGAAAACCAGCTATTTAAAAATACAGAACGCTTTTATACAGAAAATTGATTGAATGAAGAGCTATTTGTGACAATTCATACATAATAGTAGTGCAAATAGATATCCTCAAAGGAAAAGGAAAATAAGAACACAAATGCTGAACTCCTCTATTGAATATGTTCCCTTACTTTTCTTTGGTAAAAGAAATCATACACAAGTTGAGACCTAAAGAATTGAATCGAATTCCAGCCTTCCTTTATTAGTCTTCATACACATTTAAATATTTATTTAATCCATGCTTAATTATTCATTTAATCCCATACATAAGTACCTTGTCAATAATATAGGCAAATTCAAAATCATTATGCAATTATGACAAATGTTTCAGTAAAATCAATTGGGAAGATAAGCATCATTTCTGATAACAAGAATGTTAAGTAGTACCTGAGAGTCCTCCCTGATTCGCAAATTCTGTCCTGCTGGATTTAACAAATCATTAACAACCTGGATCAAAAAGTTTTAATAAGTAAAATTATATACAACTACTCAGAAGAAAACTAATTAATTATAAATTGACCAAAGTTCACAAAGCCATAAGTTTTGATAAAAATTGAGTAAGAATTCATTAAATTGATCACGGTAAACAGAACAATACATCATGCTGTTACACAATACACATACTGCATATACCTGTACAAGTATGACAGTCTTAACAAGTGTGAGAAAGATTATGAAATTTATTTATTTTCATAATTGTGAAACTATTTATGAGCTTTATTTTTTTTTAATTATTTATTTCTTATGGTTTCATCTACAAGTTTTCCAAGACTAATGATGGAACAATGCATAATTCAAGGCTCCAAAGAAAGAAGCTGATGTGTATAATATAGAATACCAATCACAACAGGCCACATCAAACAAGTAATGAGAGATCTATAGAGAGCACGCATTCCTTATATATGCCATTATCATAACTTCAAAAGTATGTTTATTCATAGTCCTAAATGTTGGAAACTGCAACCACTACAGTTGAGCCTACTGATCTTGCAAATTGACAAACAACTGATGCCATTCTCACTTAAAACTACAGATCCAATGTTGTATTAATATTTGCTTCTAGATCCAGTAAAAACTTGCTTTTCTAATAGTAGACAATAGTCACAATACATGCATTTGCATATCAAATGAGGTTTTGTATTACTAAATAGAACATGAAGTATAAAGAAGAGGCCAGCAAGTGAAATTTGCAAGATTACAGATAATTGGAAGTTTGTTCTTTAGACTCATTGGAAACTAGATACACCATCCTAAAACTTGGTGTGTCCCATATTTAACACTTAAATGATTAGCAGGGCACCCAAAAAATTGTAAGAGATATCTTCAAATTACATATGATTACATGTGCATTTTGGATGGTATTCCATTTGAACCTTGTACATACATGAGCATATGATGATATGCATGTCAATAAACACGTGTACATGCTCATATATAACAGTCCATGTACGCTTCAAAACACATACAGCAGAGTAGTGAGAGCCAGAGATCTACACTTGATTTCATAGCATGATGTACTGGCCAATTCCAATCATTGATGTGATATCATAAGCTGGATCTATAACTAAGAATCGATCAAATAGACTAACATGCTTATCTTAACCCAATCTAAAAGAACCTGTACTAAAATCCACCTTATACCGCTGAACAGAATCCACTGCAATCTCGGCATCACTAAGGTAAAAAAAATGGTCAGAATAGCCACCTTCCAGATTCATATATATTATCTCCCAAATTCCACACCTTTCTTTTATTTTATTTTTTCTCACCCAACAAATCAGAACAAATAGTGTGAAAAAAATGCTTCTCTTTTATTTGTAGTTTAACACCAACTTGCAGAATTAAACTATGATGGAGACAATAAGAACATGATCTTTTTTTTTTTTACTTTGAATTTTTTTTCCCCTTAACAGATGTAAAGATACTCAATCACGGTTCATATCACAATTATCTAAATAAAACCAATTGAAAGCTAGACTACATCATTGGCCTCAAAACGCAACTTTTCCACAATGGTCCAAGAAAACACAGATTAATACCAAAACTGCGAGAAAGGTTACAGAAGATGATACAAACGGATAGCTAAAACAAGGTATATGGTTCTCCTTTTCCTTTCTATTCAACCAGACTCCACGAAACAGCAGAAAAGATCTGAGTGCTTTCTGTCATGTGCTCTTTGATGCTTCAGAGCTGATTGCATTCCCTTTCCTGGTCATGGTCACAAGGAACTTCTCTGTGACTCAAGAGGATGCATTAGGACTTTGGCTTCTCAAGCATGTCTGAAAGACTGAAACATCATTTCTCATTTATCAGGAGGTTTTTTAACCACATGGTTCAGTTTAAGGCTTGCCTAAATTTATGATTCAGATCAACCCTTGATGAACTGACCCACCAAACAATCAATAATCTGAACATGAAACAGCCAGTTGGAGGGTCAAGAAATCATGGCCTGATCCGACTCATTTGGTAAATGAATTGAAACCAGGTTTTCTTGCATTGAGTCATTGACAATAGATTCATGTAACTACCACCAATGTCATTAGCGGTGGGTAAGAACTTGGTCTCACAACTGATAAAGGAATACCGTGGGTCGCAGAAAAAATTCAACCAATCAATGATCTAGTGACACTCAATATAGATCTGACATCTGAATAAAATTTTCACAAAAAACCAAATTACTTGTTCTCTTCACTTTTTACATCTTTCCTTCAGTTCTATATATTTTTACTTCATTAGACAATATAGTCCCTTATCATCTAAAGCAAATCAAGATTTATTGCGATAAAACAGATTTGATGCAAGAATAACTCCTGCAAAGTTGTACTCTTTACCAATATGAGTAACTGATGTGTACAAAGGCTAGCAGAAAATGGACTCACATATCTACATGTTAAAAAGGTCTTAAATACCTGTCACAAATTTTGGCAAGAAAATCGGACACTCTTAATGATAAAATATACTTGTACAGATGCACCGAAAATGCTCAACAATCCACAATGGGAAAATGGAAAAACAGTCAGCCACAGAGAGAAAAGAGAAAACAAACTTGAAATTGTTTTGCAGAGAAGTAAACCAGCATCTGATGCAGCAGTTTAAAGAACGAACCTCATTGTAGATTTCCATATATGATACACGTAGAAGAAACTCACGGCTTGGAGTCTAGAACCAAAAGTATGTGTTCGGATTATTTTTGTTGAAGAGAGTTTTGAACTTATTGAAATGCATTACAATGATAGAAAATCTGTCCAAGGTACCTCTTGTATGATGCTAAATGCATCTTTTACAGCCAACGGTATGATTCCTGGGGACCTTTGATCTCCCTGAGTTTGATTCATTAAAAGGAAATAAACGTAAGTCATAAAATTTTAAGACTGCATAATGCAAATATGAAACTCTATTAGCCTAATAATTGTACTTATGTCCTAGCAGTATTATCAGAGCAGAAGGAAATCTCAGAACTATGTGCATATTTGGGGGATGGAAGGACTCGTGATGGACCAGTTTGACCTGAGGTTAGTTTTCAATATCAAACTGACCAAACACTGTCAAACCCAACTGAAAATGGACAAAGATTTCAATCTCAATCCATACTGGTTCCAACATGCCAGCATACTGATAGGGTACATTAACATGGAAAAACTTGATAGAGGGAAGTGATGAATAGAATTACATACATATTTATGCAAGCATGTATATTTTTTTGTTTGTGTGTTTAGACTGATGGACCACTAATGTGTAGAATATGATGATTAAGATTAGCATGGTTTAATAGATCCCATCTGGTATCAGAATGGTTTCAATTACCAGATGGGCCAATCATAAATAGAATATGATGATTAAGATTTAAGAATATCTAACTCACATATGTTTTTGTTTCACTAACTTCTTGCCACTATATTTTTACTCTTCTTTTGGGACTCAATTTTGTAGTCAAGGTACATGAATAGGCATATACTAAATTTAAGTTTTTGAAAAAGTTTAAATAGGTCTTGCTTGGCATGGGCATGGCTTCAAATACTGGATAGACCGAGATGTACTAGTACATATCACACAATTGGACTAGTACCTAACTATATAGCTTGATTTTGTTTGGTATTCATTTTTTTTTTATTTTAGTGAGAAGTACACCGGTTCCACGCTGTTTTAAGAACTTGTTGAAACCAGTATCAGACTGGTATTTAACTCCTTGTCTATGAGAATGTTGATTTACATTGAAATGTTAGGCTGTCACTCAAATCCCCCCTTATCCCAAACTAGAATCAAGAAGCTTAGAAAGTGTGATCAGCTATACAAAACATGGAATTCCAGGAAGAAGGAAACTCCAGGGACAAGGGCCTTGGAATTCCAGGATGAATAAAAAATAAAGCATCTGCCATAACCAGAAACAATGTCAAATTGGAATCTGTAAGTAGCCGAACACAAAGTGGGAATTTTAGCAGGAACTAGGATAACCACTCAGAACTTATGGCTAAATTTGGGAATTTGTTACCCCTCTAACAAACAGGGTCTTGATGTCCCTATTCCAATTTTGATTGGCTGTTGAAGCATAATATTTTAGAATTTTGATAGCTCTGGATGAATCTTTAAGATTCGAAAGATAAATATATTTTTCTAAGAATAATTAAACAACAGCAATTTAGTTCAGTTTAGCCTTAATGAAGTATTTTCAATTGACTATCTTTGCACCAAAAGAGAAAAGATATAAAAAGTTTCAAACAACTGAGAAGAGAAAATTGCAGAAGATATTTCATGAGTAATGAAGTTGAACAAGTACAACTTAAGTTCAGACTCAGTTAAAGAAATCTTTTGTCAACACAAGTTTTTATAAACCGAAGAAATGTATAAATGCTACAGTGTCATGGTCTCGATTTGTCATCTAATCCATGGATTAAAATTCTTAAGAATGGGGCTCTCTGTTGACCTTAGCCCATGAGGGCTTCATGGTCTCCTCTGGCCAAATGTTTTTTTTTTTTCTCTGGCTAAACGTACCTATCAGAACTAGCCCAATTTACCCAAGCCATGGAGGATTTTTAGAAACACCAAACTAAAAACTGTAGTCATGCGTTTGTGCACTTATATACAATTGACATGCTAATAAATTATAGGCAACTTCATCTCTTGGTGCTCTAGTCAAAGCACAAAATCTATAAGAAACCAAAAGGGTCTAAGAAACATTCCTTGATATTTCTTGGGTTAGAAAATTGTTTAAAAGGGAAATGAAAGAACTGAAAGAGATATGGGATAAAACATGTCCATTTTTACAAAAATATCCGCATCAAGGATTTAAACGACAAATTGTACAAATACCATTCTATTATTAGCCCCATAGAACATATCACTGCTACATTGGTCAGTATTAGTGACCTTCAGGACAGCAGGGCTACTTTGGTCAGTATTTGAGTATATACTGCTTGGACTTGGTAAGGATCAGTATTTGAGTTCTTGACCCATATAGGCTTCAGTCAAATTTAACCAAAACAATAAGAACTGTCCAAAAACTGCTTCAACTTCAGCTATTTTAAACTAAACCTATGCTAGGCCTAGAAATAACTTTCACCCTTGGTTTTTTCTTGGACACTTCCACAATTTGAAGTTTTGAGCCATGCTTACATTTAGTTGCATACCGAAATAGAAAGCTATGAATAAACTCTAGGCCTAACTTGATGCAAATATATATCAAGCAATAGGATTTGGAGAAAGAAATAGAAAGATAACAAATCAAATTGGACAATAGCAAGAATGAGAAGACAAAACTGGATGGTAATCAACAATAAAACCAACAATGCCCACTTGCATCACAACAGAATATACGTGAGAACCCAAGTACAAAAGTTGTGACCCTCACATGCATCGTATGTGTTTTGCCACTGCTTGTAACACCATAAGCAAAAATTGTGCCTGTGGAAAGATAAAAGACAGGGTTAAAGCATGATTAAATGACATTCTTGAAGATAATAGTGCAGTTATCAGTTGCCATAGTCTCAGATGCTGCAATGCAAGGAACTGGGCTTCAAGCCAAGCATGCATGCTTCAGGGTCATCATCTACAAATAAAATCCTTACCTTCTGCTTTTAGGCATCAAAGATGCTATATTGTGTCTCCACATGCAAAGCACATGAAGAGATGAAGAATTTCATAATTATTGAGATAATTCTGAACCAATACATAAATTTTAATATTTCTTTGATTTAAATGGCGATAAAAAATTATTTCTCCATTGAAACAGAGCCCTTTCTCTTTTGATGCTTGGAAAATTCCTTTCATGTTAGTTTCTACGATTCAACCTTGTACCGAAGGCAAGACAATGGCCAGTAAGATAAGTTGTTAAACAACTTGAGGGTTCCTATAAAATTTATGAATTTCTGGTGTTGATACAGGGCCCTTTCTCTTTTGATGCTTGGAAAATTCCTTTCATGTTAGTTTCTACAACTCAACCTTGTTCTGAAGGCAAGGCAATGGCCACTAAAACAAGTTATTAAACAACTTGAGGGTTCCCATAAAATTTGTGAATGACCCAGACTTCAAACCAAGTAATCTAGGTCTTATGAATATAAGCTGTCCTTAGCTTTTTTTATTCATCCACTTTTAATTCTTAATATTTAATCAACTTTAAAAAAATTATCAGTGAGCCTTAGTCAGATGACATGCATTGCAATTCAATTTTGAACAATGATCTCTGGTGTTTTGACAATGACAAAATTATACAAATGAGGTACCAAAAGACATTTGATAAAATATTTCACAAAAAGATTTTGAGTTTTACTTTGTCCAGGTTGTAGACTTTTAGCTTCTTTTGCTTCTGTGGTCTCACTCAAGGGTTAATCTTGGCCTGGTATCGATACCGACCAATGACCAAACTGGTAGAAACATGGGCCACTACAAACAGAAAGAATGAGATATGCACCAGGGAGGAGGCATTGATGTCAGGAAAAAGACAATGTTGGTGATGAAAGAAGGTGGCGAGATAGCAATGCAGAGAAAGGAGACAATGATGACAGCAGAAGGCAGTGACACAGCAATGTGAACAAGAAGTATGGTGCAGACAAAGAGAAGGAGGCAGAGGAGGAGAAAGAGAAAACGAGAAGTAAAAGAAAAGTATGAACTGTAGGGCATATATAAACAGAAAAATAAAAGAGGGGGCCCAACACTGATGTGAAATGGTATGCTCACGGTCTGATACAGCTCAGCACTGATGAACTTACTGCTCGGAGAGCCCATATGGTAAACTAAACAGTGGCAAGCTCAGTTTCAGACTGGACTGGGCAAGATTGATCCATCCATATACAGATTTAGCAGGGAACCAGCACTAGATTTACATTATCTGAAGTCTGATAACCTCGGAATCTTATTTCTGTCGTTCTAAGTAACTAGTATCAAATCAGCACTAGATTTAATATATGTATTGTTTCAAAACGAAGAATGAGGAACAAGTATGTCGCATTACCAATTTTCAATCATCATGCTATTGAACTAATTGATGTTCTTTGCAATACCATTTTCCCTTCAATAAGTTTAGAATTTTCCTAGGCATATAAATTTCATGGAACTTTAGCTACATCCAAGGATTGAAATTTCGTACCATACCGAAGTTTTGAGATTCGCTCGATACGGTACGATACTGTATACCGAGCGATATATTTCGATATACCACTCGGTGTATATATATATATATATATATATATATAAAGTAAAAAAAAAAATCTTTTTCGGCGACATCGCCTCAGAAAAAATGAGGTGGAGACATCACCTCTTTATATATATATATATATATATATATATATATATATATATA